AAAGAATTAGGGGGAGTGCAAGTAGCAGCAGTCTCCCAGCACTTCTCGTTTCACCAGTTTAGGTGCATGACCTGGAGGGCTCGGCTCCATCCTAGAGCTGGAATAGTATGGAGGCTTTACTAATGACCCTCTGATTTATTTTTAAACTGAAATTTTATTTTCTCAGCGTTAAAAAATAGCCAAAACAAAACCTAAGATAATAAGATTTGGAGAATGCTATTTTTTCCCCTGAAGCCCCACAGACTCCTGACCATATTAAGACCTAAATTATTTTCTATTTCATCTGAAAAACTAATAAATCACCCCCAATTCCTGGAATTAATTTCCCTGCTTCCAGTCTTTCTTCTTGTTTTTTTTAAACCTATTGCTGTATGTGGCAGGCTACTTCAAGCAACAGCTCTTCAAAAATACCCCCCACCCCCTTCTCCTAACAACATTTTGCGTTAAATACTTGCCTGAAAAATTATCCTGTCCCCAACTTGTGCTCAGAGTAGCAATGTGTTAAAGGGTTAATGGGTGGTAAAGGCTGTTTCCCTTAGCGGTGCTGGTGAAATGGGGGCAGGATTTTGGAAAGTGGGGGGAAAGACACTGCCTAACCGAGGAAAACTAACTGAACTTTGCTAGAGGACTGCGCAGGCAGAGCCTTTTGGCAAGAAGTGTTTGTCCTCAGGATGCTTGAAAGAAGCCCAGAATAATAATACAAAGCTGTGGGGATGGGGAGGGGGGAACGAAACACAGCGGAGGCTCCTTCGTGGCCACTGCTCACAGCGCGGCGGAGGGGCTGGGAGTTGGTGTAGCAGCTCCTCGGAGGTGGGAGGCGGCGGCGGACTGCGCAGGCAGAGCCTTTTGGCAAGAAGTGTTTGTCCTCAGGATGCTTGAAAGAAGCCCAGAATAATAATACAAAGCTGTGGGGATGGGGAGGGGGGAACGAAACACAGCGGAGGCTCCTTCGTGGCCACTGCTCACAGCGCGGCGGAGGGGCTGGGAGTTGGTGTAGCAGCTCCTCGGAGGTGGGAGGCGGCGGCGGCGGCGGCGGAGGAGAGGCCACGGCAGGGTCACACGGAGCTGGGGCCTCGGCGGCGGCGGCGGCAGCAGCGGGGGCGATCCGTCC